TTTATTCTGTTATCCACAGTCCATCCTACTGTGTTTGGTTCAAAATAGGCTCTTAATGTTTGGATAAATGAAGAGAACATACATAATTATTTTATACATAACCTTTTACTTTACAAACAGTATAGCACTGTACAAATCTGGTGAGCAGTGAGAGGCAGAAATGTGATACTTGAGAAAAGGCATGTGTATCTTTCAGGTCTCACTCTCCAGGTTTCTAAAGCCCCCAAACTACACAAGCTCAGCATATTTGCCTACACATATCTTGAAGTAATGCCATACCTTATCTATATGTTAAAAATTGAATTTTTTTCAATTTATATTTGCTTTTTCTTCTGAATCATTTCTGCTGTGCTTTAGGAAGCAGACATTTCTGTTTGCTTTTTAATGAGAATCTGTACATGGCATCATGATATTACTAGAATCTAAATGGGCAGTGAACTCATCAATTTATTATATTCAGAAATTGAAACCAAAGTGTCTCCATTTTTCTAAAAGCCAGGAAATTGCTATTGAAAGCATTGTTGAATTCTTAGATATTTTTTACATTCTTTTAATTCCTCAAACAATAATTGAGTTCCTACACATGTCAGTATTGTGCTGCTATTTGAAATTGAAAGATCTTGCCATAGAGGGATTCATAGTCAGACGTTAAACAGAGAAATCACAGTAATTTTGTGCTATTTGCAGAGATATGAAGCAAATACAGCAGGAGTTTTGAGGCTGGAGCCATTCTTAAACATGTAGTAGGTTTGAAAACAAACTGATTTTAATTCTTTGACCCTTTATGTTAGCCGATTCTGAAACACAGTTTGTATAGCTCAACACTTATTCTTTATAAGAATTTATATTCTTATAACAAGGAGGCGCAAAATACATGAGTTTTAAAAAATGTATTCTTTTTTTTACTGATGTTTATGCTTGTTTGTGCAGTTTTAAAGGATTTTTTTTAAAAAATTAAAGGACAAGTAATACATAATCTAGGCTTCAGAAATAATCTTAAGTTTTTGAAAGTATAGGGCAAGAAATAAAAATATTTGTAGATAAATAGGAGTGAAAATGGTCTGAGACCACAGACAAGAAATTCTCTTCCAGAAAGTTAAATTTCAAAACTAAGGGGAAGAAATTTCTAGTTTCTGTTTAGTTAATAACAGAAAATATGTGAGCCTAATAGGTAAGAATTTGTGTGACACTATTTTAGCATTAATAGTAGTTTTCACGTTAATAAGGATTTAAAATTTTTTCATATAAAATTTCTTTTTGCTTTTATAATTCTCTTAGAAGATGTTATAAAATCTGAATACCATTTTCTCATTAAAATATAAATAATGTGCCCCGTTTGTCCACTAACAACTAATTATTCTGTTTTTAGCTTATCTGTAGTTTTTAAATCTTTTAAAATTCTGTGGACTTTGGAGTCCATGCAATTATGCTAGCACTGTCAGTTTGTTTCTTGTAAAATTATACTAGTTAATTCACAGATACTCAACATCAGATCGAATGATGTCTATAGAACACTCAACCTCACTCTGAAGTATTAGTGATAGCTCATACATCTTTTCTGAAAGTTCTGTCAGACAAAGAAAAATAAAGCAAAAAGGTGTTTTTGTAAATATTTGTGAATGTTTTGTGTTCATGAGATTATCTTTTTATCTTTGTAGAGAGTTAGCTTTCTGAGCATTGTTGTTACAGCTTTACATTAATATTTTAAAATAACTTTTTGTTACAAAGAATTTCAAACTCACAGTGCGAGAGTATAATGAAATTTCATGTACCCATCAGTCAGCTTCAGTGATTATCAACTCTTGACTTTATAAACTGTTATCATTTTAATATGTGTCCTCTATTCCAACTCCAGTTACTTATTTATTTATTTTTATGTTTTGTTATGTACTGGGGATTGAACTCGGGACCTTGTGCTTGTGAGGCGGGTGGCAGCACCACTGAGCTAAATCCCCGGCCACGTCCAGTTATTTTGAAATGAATCTAAATCATATTGCATGTAGAAATACTCATTATATATGTTTAAGAGATTACAAAGCACTGTACATTAGCTTTTTACATTTAAATTCTATCAGGCAATAAATTTATGTTTCAAGATTTAAGATACAAAAAGGTGTAAATGATGTATAGTTTTTTTCTGCCCTTGTCCCCCAGTTCTCAGTTGCCTTTCTAGAAGCATATGTTTTACTAACTTTTTATAAATCTTTTCAAATTTTTTGCATAAATTAGGGGTATATATATTCACATTCTATTCAAAATAAAACTGTAGGGCTAGGGATGTAGTTCAGTGGCATTGTGCCTGCAGCTCAGTGGCACTGTGCCTGCCTTGAAAATACAGTGTCCTGAGTTTGATCTCTGGTACTGGGTCGGGGTGAGGTATTGTTAGAGATTGTCCTCAGTTAATTAAATCTTATTATTCACATAGATTTTTTGTGTCTCATGTCTTTTGGAGTTACCAAATACAGTTTGGTACTAGTTTTTGTTTCTTAATAAATAATGGCCAACGTCATTAAGATAATGGCTCTATAGCTCAAAAATATATACTTGTAAGATAAATCCTTCATTTTTTGCTCCTTAGTA